TTTAAATTCAGAAAGGACTAAAACGCATGGAATATCCAGGGGTATAAGGAAGATAATAAAATGGGTCTTGGTAAATAGATTGTGAGGGTGTGGAGTGGACTAATGACAAACTCACAAAGTTACGTACTTGTTGTCGGAGGTGACTCTTGTTTACAGTCTCGGTCAGTGCACCATTCGACTGTAGAAGCAGGTTATAATTACACTGCCATTTGTCTCTTCATTTGTTTCTTTTGTGCAAGAAAAGAGTTCAGGAAGTGTGGGTGACATCTGAAGCGTCCAACAGCCAATCCTTCCGCATACTGAAGAACTTCAATGAAATTTGGCATCGGACTTGCAACTGCCTAAGACAAGACAGGAGGAGGGGAGAGAATTATATTTTTGTCCCTCTCAGTGTAATATAAACTTAAGTCAAACGAAATTAAAATTTAAACTTTCATATTCTGACCGTAAAAAGCCTACACGTGACAAAATAGTACAGAACCCACTGAAATCGAAAATATATTTGGGGCATTCTTTAATATGATGGATATTAAAATAAATACGACGAGAAAGCAAATTATGTTTTTGTGAAGGCATATTGTAATAGCTATTTGTTAACTACGTTTGTCAGTACCAAAATGTATGGTTCCACACAGTGTCTCGGATATCGCGCCATGTGGTCTAGTAGAAGTCGATCTACGTTCCAGAGGTACATACTACCTCCATTATCATGGTATTAAATGCTGGAGTGCGCCTCTCCCTCAATTGATTTATTCTAGATTTCTTTAACGACGTCTGTAGTTTAAATTAAAATGTATGGAAGCCACTCGTAATATAATAGCCACTGTCCGTCAAGCTTGGATGTAGGAGTGTACTGTTCGTACGATGCGAAACAATTCGAAATTAAATTCCGAAGGTGACGATTCTAGTAACAATAAATGCAAATGAGGCTATATTGGAGTCTATGGTGGGGTCAGGCGGTCGATTTTGTTTGGTAAGAATCTAGCGTCAGCACCCGTGGAAGATGTTACTTCATGAAAAACAATTTATAATTTTTTACTTTGTCATTTACAGAGATAATACTGCAATAAATAATATCACTGTTCAACACAAAAGTCTATTACCGTCAAAATTCACGGGTTATAGTATAGCTAGTTAAAGCATGAGTAGTGAAAAAAATGAAGAGCTGTGGAAGAAATATCTAATACAAATTCCTGAAGGAAATAAATTAAACAAAAACATTAGCTTTTCAAATGGCTTGTTCAATTCTCATTTCGGTTTATGGAAGTGTTTAGAAGGCTTAACCTCGGGGTCTGGAGTACACACATGACGTATACCAAGTGGATAGCCGGCAGAAGGTTCGAGTCTGAGGACACGGATGGTGTATTGCATTTCATCCAGCCCGCCACACCAATGTGGCGATTCTGTCATGAAACCGATCCCATGCAAAACTTCACTTATTAGATCAGACATGTGGGAGTTTAAATTAATACACGGCTTTGATTTATCACGAGAAGCCTTTAATAAAATGACAATAACAAAGCTCTTCGATGTTTTAGAAAAACTGGTATTCTCTAAAATCTTCGTAAAATGAAATAATAGCATTTATAGTGGCAATAGTAAAAAAAAAAAGAGGGTTGGCACAGGCCAGAATATATTATCAGAGATTCAGAAATGTTCTAGTTCAGGTACCTCGTGTTTATTACAGGATAAATTTTATAAGATGGCAACATAAAGTCAATCCAGCCATTACGTTCAACGAAAAACATCCTCTAAATATCTTACTCTTCGGCAATATTTGCAGTGTCAATTAAATATAAGCAGAATATATTCCACAATAATTAATTCAAAATATCATCCAAAAAAAGTAATGGTTATTTAAAATGGCTGGGTTTTTTTATTGTTAAGCTGTGTAATCTGGTAGAAGTTTACCAACGTTTCATCAGGGCGCCCTGATGATGAAGGCAGCAAGGACCTCTAAAACCTTGGTATACTTATACCGGAATATACAGCGCTACAACACAGAAGACAGCCATCTTCGGAATCACCGCCGAGGTAAACTCAGATCCTACCGAATACTTTATTAAATATTACTATTCAATCGCCTGCAAAATAATTTTTTTAAATAAGTTAAGTAAGTTAAACATTTTACGAGTTTGTAAATTACTTTTTTAATGAAGCTATCATGTAAATAACATAATTCGTTGCTCGAAGTTAAATTTCGGCACTCACTTTGAAAAAGTAAGAAAAGACATCAGGAATAGTAGAGTGCCTGGCAATTGTTAGCACACCACTCCGGTCGGCCCACAGAAGGATACGCGAAACTGGGAAACATGAGATGAGAACAGACAGAGGCACATTGAAGGGTGCCACGTGGACGCTGCACTGCGCCATCCACAGATTTCTCACGGTTTGTTCTAGTCGGGTTTGATTCTTACGTATAAAATAAATAAAAGGGACAGATTAGACCTCGTGACTTCCAGACACCGTGACACTTAATTAGATCATGCACCTGGCTGCCCTCGAAAACGCCTGTATCAAGGGCACCTGGGACTGGGGCACTCGTGGTGCTGTAGGTTCGATTTTATCGATACTTAAATATCCTGTATTATCACTTAACAATAACACAGTTACTATACGTATTTCAAACTATAGCTGCAGATAAACTTAAACACGGTGCAGTTTACAGCACATCGGCTGTCTGTCTGTCGAAGGTCCACTGAAATCGCGGACAGAAAATGAAAAGCAGCGGAAGAGGAGGATAAAATAAACGAAGTACGAGTTAAAAACAGGAATAGAATGAAAAGGAGAGGAAGAGAGGGCGAAAGAGACAGATAAAGAGGAAGACAGAAGGAAAGAAAGCAAGAATAAACGAAAGTAAGAAAGAAGGAAAGAAGCTAAAGAACAAGAAAAGGGAGAACAAAGAATAACGAAAAGAGTAATGAAGAAGAATAGGGAACAAGAAAGAAATACAGGAAGAGACAGGTTACGGTGGAAGGTAGTAAGAAAGAAGGAAGACGAAGACGAAGAAGGCCAGCAGCGCGCAGCAGTGGGGCCCCACGTGAGCGCCGCTGCATTCGCGTCTCGCTGCAGCTAGCTGAGCGCTCAGTTCAGTCGTGATCTGGCGTCATGGCGGACGACGTGCTCCTGTCCGTACACCAGAGTAAGGGGCGATCAGCTTCTATATGTGCCCCGGGGTTCTCCAGCATGGAGGCCATGGCTGCGGCTGCTGCCGGGACGCCACCCCAAGTAACGGGAACTTGTACACCCGAATGTTCAGGAACACCGAGCGGTCGCAGGCGTAGGCCGGCCTCACGTTCTCAGAGCGC